CAAACACACTCACTCTGCTGGGAAAGGATTGCAGGACCTGACCCAGTTCTTCTTTTTCCTTTATGGCAAGGCTGACAACATCTCACTTTACCTCTTTGGAAACCAGGAGCAAATATATCAAACCCTGCTTAGTGAAGTGGGGAAAAGGCAAGATGCTATCCCCAAGCAGGCAGTGGGGAGTATCTCTGCCAGTGCTTGGCACAGGGCTCTCTTACACACCTTTCTGTCTGTTGAGGAAGGAAGTTGAATGGGAACACAGAGGAAATCTCACTAGATTTACTACTACAAAATCACAAGAAATTCAAGTCCAGGCTGACTTTATATGACTGAAACGATTTGCCTGGGCTAATCCATGAGGAGCCCAACAGAATGGGAGGCTTGTTTTAGTTAATTCCTTGTCATCAGTACATCAAGCAGTGGAGATACAGTGAGGTGCATGTATTCTCCCTCCATCATCAGGGACAGGGAGGCAAGATAGAAGGACGGCATTACCTCCCTCAGCAGCATTCACAGAACTAGAAAGGTTCACAGTACTCTGTCCCTGCCCTTAGACAGGGCCAGTGGGGACTCAACATCCTATGGCAGCCCTGCATCCCCACAGCAGAACCGCCCCAAGTGAATTCCTCTGGGCAGCAGCTATTCCAACACAATTAAATACTGCCTTCCCAAGAGCCACCCAGCATGTGTGTCACGCAGACACTGTACATAATCTTTCAAAGAAGTCCGCTCTCTTGTGCTCTAGTGCCTGTAGAAAGCCCTGGATTCTCTCCTCCCGCATGGCAGAGCATTTTTGCAACAGTGTCCGTCGGCGCCGAGAGTCTCCAGGGGATGCAAAACCCTCCTGCTGCAGCTTCTTTGTCACATAAGCCTGATCCCTTTCCATCTCTTGTTGCTTCCTTTCCTCCATGTAGGAGTCTCTGGCCTTCTAGAGTGAAAAGCAGTAGAACGTTAGCACTTTACCAGGCCTTTCAGCTCACCTGTATTACAGATACAGGGCAGCACAGGCTTCGGAAGAAACAGCCTCTGCTTGGCCATTGAGCTGCAGGGCAAATGAAGAGTGGCTTTGTGTGTGCTCCTAGGCAGCGTGCTCAACTGGTTGGAGAAAACACAGGGATATCCTTCAGGACCTTCTACTCCAGATAGATGTCTGCTCAAGGCACTAACTGCTTGTTGAAATAGGTAGAGGTCATGACTACTTGTGGAAAAGTCCTCAGATATCCATATCCGGAGGAACAGAGTACAAGAGTACTTCAAACCACAGATGTACACACAAGCCTGCCCGTGTCATCACAGAATCTTTGCTACCACTCATGCAGCAGCTGAAAGGTTTTAGGGGATTGAGAACAGTGATTTATAGGGCAATTCTTTTAGCTTGTGATCAACTGTAAATCTACCTAGCTTTATAAAAGAGCAAGAGTGGTCTCAACATTCCTAAATGTCTGTGTTCTAATAATTTATGAGCTCAAGACAGAGCAGGATGGGCAGCAAAAGGTAAAGGCAGTAGCTCTCCTTGCCTACCTTTCAAGTACTTGAAGTATTTCAGCAGAACATCATTTTTGGATTTCTTCTTATGTACATCCTAGCCTGTAGACTTTAACACACAAACTGAGAAGCCCTCTACTGTTGCATGAAGGGATATTAAGGGGAAAAACTGGGCTTTCAGATGAGGAAGGAGTAGTAACTGTCTGGAGCTAAACTGGCTGATTTTGCTCCACAGCAATGAAGACTGTTTACTTGTTCTGTCCTGCCAGATGAGAGAAGATGTTTCCAACTGGTACAGTGAAAATAACCAGTAGAAACAGCAGTGACCTCAGATAATTTAGTTGTTCCTGAAAGCAGAGGAATCTGTCCACATGCTAACACATTGTAACAAGACACAGGAGATGCAACGCATCTCACATTGGCTGCTGGTACTGCAACAAGGTCTTAACTAAGCTCACTAAATGAACAATTCCTTTGTTCCACTTTGCACACTCTCACCTGATCTCCAGCTCCCTTACCTGTAATGCATTATAGTTCATCTGGAACCGAAGGATAGCCTCACACAAGTTCCAAAAGGAATATTCTGGCCACAACACTGACTGAAACACCAGGCATGAATGGGATGTCTGCAGAAAGCAAGATCACCAACAATGTCATCATCTAGCAAGGGAAAAAGAAGTCATCAAGATGCTGCTCTGATGCTCAAGCTACGCCAGCTTCCCCACAAAGATTTTACCTAGGCTGTTCTAACAGAACCTACTTAAAATTAAATAAATACCAGCCAGGATAGTTTGAAATTGCACTATGTAATGTCTATCTAATAACTATTATTGCTAGAACACAAGTTATTCATTCATGTAAAAATACCTGCAGAATTTTCTCCAATGTGACCCTGGCCTTTATAGAGGCATTTTTAATAGCTTAAGTGCCACAGATGTACAACAAAACTAAAATAGCAACACTGGACTATCAAAGGTTGAGTTAGGGGAATAACATGAACATGATCAGGATATGTAATTTAAGCCATTTATCGAATAACATCTCATGATATTCCTTGCTGTCCACTCATGGCATTTCAATTGCTTAATGAATCTATGAGTTGTGGTATGCTGTAGATATTCTAGAGCTGAAAAACCCAAGCTTTCAGCTCTAAGCATATTTTTGCCTCTCAGTATTTCAGGTAACTGCATTCATAGAATTGCAAGAAACAGACTCTTTAGAGGCGCCCCTGCACTCAGTCCATCCAACAAGTTATCTAAACTCTGGCAGAGAAAATGGAAGAGCCATCATCATCATCACACCCAGAGACATAACACTCTCTGATGCAAAGCTGGAACACTTAATGGAGAAAACAAAAACTTTCACCTGCCAGAGCAGGAAATCACTCAAGCGGACCTCTCCAGAGGTTCGAATCAGGAGGTCTGGGTCAGGGGAGTTGCTGGTATACAGACACTTATCAAGCAACGATTCAGACACATCACTGAAAGACAGATGCATCTTGTTAAGGCAGCTTTCCTGATCTAACAAAGATAGCAACAAATCAGAATTACTAAGCATTTTTATTAAGACAGAACTACAGATTAAAATCAGGTGGATGGGACTGTACCGCTGCCCGTCATCAAATGTTTCTGACAGACTGGGCCAATTTCAAACACTCTTTCAGCCCCCTGAGCATCCCCCGATGCTCCGGGAAACATAAAACAGTGGTAGAAGGACTGTGAAGACTTCCATCTGGAGCAGAGCTAACTACTCCTTCTCCTCCAGGGTAGAGGAACAGTTCAGTACTCATGATTCATCTGTTGTTTGACCTCACGGCTGAAACTGCCAACTGAGCAGTCCAAAACTGCAGTATGAAATCTGTCTTCACATTTAAAGTAACTTAAGATACAGACCTGCCTTCTCTTCTGCCTTAGTTGTGTACCTATCACCATGGTAACTGCAGTAATAAAAAAAACAAACATTGCATAGTAACTTGAAGTCATTTGTTCCAGTTGGACTGGTTCAATTGGATCTATTTAAAAGCCACTTGGTTTCTGAGAGGTTAGTATTAAAGCGTAGGAGAAAAGACAGGCAGACTTTATCTATGAAGCCTCACACAGAAAAACAAAGAGTTACCTGGGTTCAAGCAGTCCTTGCTCTACCCCCCAGGCCATCTCCCTGACAGCATTGCTGATTTCATGTCTTGATGTGTATGCAAAGCAGACATTTAGAAAGCACCTGAAAAGAGGAAAAAGATGTGGAGAACCTGGAAGTAAAGAAGGTCCACCAGGTAACAAGGAGTCTATCTAAACTGTTATGTGATTCTCGGACCAAGAAAAGCTACACCATGTCTGACAGGTGTACCTGACAAGCAGAAGGCAGCATGAGGTACCTTGAACTCCATGTTACTTACTTGTTGTAGTTCCTGGTTGCCATCACAGCCTGGGCAATCAGCTCCTGAATATCCAAGGGTAGAAGTGGCAGGTCCCCGAGCACACGGATACACACACCATGCTTCTTCAGGTTCTCCCTACACCCAACAACAAGAGTGAGGACTGCAGAAAACAGATCAGCCCTGATTGCATGACTGCCATGCCCTGATTGCATAACATCCATCAAATGAAAAAAAGCAGGCACGTAGCAGGCGTAACTTCAGCAAATCTCAGAATCAGACAAAGGCATAACAACTAGATGTTTTTTGAGTGTTAAGAATTTGCTTGGGTTTGATCATCCCAAATCCTTCCCTAAAGGAAAGATGATCATTCCCCATACAGGTTTCTCAAGTGCAGACATAACCAAAGGACTAGATAATGATCACAAATTAGGCATGCCTATCTGAAGTTATGAAAATCCACATACAGAAAACTTAAAATAAAACCATAGGCAATAAAATAAAACTCTAGGCAACTAACTAATAAAAAAAACCAACAGAAAAATAGCAGAATTACTGATTAACACAGAATAGCACAAACACTTTCTGGTCTATCGCTCATGAAGAGCTTAATTGGGTAGAAACTGGGCAACTGGCTACCTTGAATCGTGGGGCACTGCAGTGCTCAAACAGAACTTGAGACAACCAGAGCAGTGCACACGTGCTGTCTTCTCCCACTCATGTGCCCGGCTGCATACCCTCACCATTTACTTCAACCATATAAACGACTATTTCACACAGCACTTATCTGTCAGGCATGGGGAAACAATTACAACCGAGGTACTGTGCAATACTGCACTGTAACGTCCCTCCCTGCTCCCTCAGACCTGTACTAGTTCCATCCACATGCTCCACGTGAACTAGTTCTCCAGCTCTAAAGTGGGTCAACACTTGATGTGCCCTTATGTGGAAGTCTCAGGTTGAGAGCTCTCCCTTAAATATGTCATTCTGCTTCAGTTCCACCCTGTAGGAAACAGCCACCAGAGGGTTCTTACTGTTCTTCCAGTAGGCGGCTAAATTTCTGCCTTGCCAGATCCATTAGTCCATCCACCTCCTCCTTGGATCGTTTAAAGTTCTCAATACTAAAGGCATAAACAGTGACCTCCCGAATCCCCAGATTTAAACACCACCGCAGTGTCTGCAAGAAAACAAAAACAAAAGTGAGATCAGTAGCCTTGTAATCAGATAGGTCCAGAAGGCCCGTATCTGCAACTGCCAGAGCTGCCATTTCCCACTATGCTAACACTGTATTAAAAATAATAATAATAATAATAATAAACAAACAAACACAACCATCAGGACCTGACAATGATTGCCAGTTAAGAGAGTTCGATTCATCTTAAAGAAACAGATGGAAAGTGTCACCACCTAGGATGAGACTCCATGATAGAGATGTGACTAATCCAGACAGCAGAAACAATTCCTGTAGACAACGTGATAGATTATGTAACACCACGATTTTCAAAGCCTTTTCAAAGCAATTCAACTTGCTGCTCAGAATTAAGCTTCAAGATCTCCAAGGCAGACATTCTAATCAAGTGTAAAGCAGAGGAAGAACTAAGCAATCAAGACGACTCAGCAAGGTAACAGAATGAGAGAGCTGAAGTCAGGTCCATGATGACTAATATCAGCTGCAAGCACAAGTCTGGCTCCAGTCAGGGAAGAGAAGGAATATAATGCATCAGTAAAGCAGTAAAGGTCAGTTACCAAACACATCACAACTTCAGTACACAACTCAGAGGCAACAAAAACTCTTCCCACCTGTGCCAGCTTATCAAAGCCCTGCGAATGTCCTTGCTGCCTCTCCACATGACACTTCTGGGCATAGCGGCGATTGCCATCCATGATGAAGGCAACATGCTTGGGCATTGGACCTGCCTAAACACAAGGAGAAACAAGGACAGCCGACAGGCAAGTGGGCATCTTGTATCACAGAGCGTAGTCCCACCACTGCGGAAGCACCCTGCATCTGTGAGAATGCAGTGAGTTTCTCCCAGCTTAAAGCCTGGAGCTTTAAGATTAAGATGCTGAACACCAATCTGGTAACTCCAGCTTAGGCTCCCACTAAAGATGTCAGCACTGACAACGGCCCACACTGAAAAGGCAACTTTGCCCGCCTCATTTCTGTTTCATGACAGAGAACTGCAGTACTTCAGAGGGAGAACAGCACTGTCACTGCACACCTTCCTTCTGCAGCCACAGGAGAAGTTGCACAGAGTTGCATGTTGCAAGTATTTTTATTTCAGAGTTCAGGGACATTTTCACAGACAACTCACGCCTGTGAAGAAAAGTGAAGTCATGAGACCTTCCTCCCTTTAAGGTAAGCAACTCTTTTCCACTGACCTCATTAGGCCTGCACAGATCCTTCTGAGAAAAGGACAGCAGTGCCACTTCCAGGACTCTGCTGAGCCAGGACAGAATTTCCCAGGAAGTACTGGGTTTTTATTCCAGTCAGCAGAAACTCAGTTTCATTTTTTAGATCTATAATCCAACTACCTCACACTCTCCCTCCTCCCACGTCCTGCCTTCATCAGCAATGGCTTAGAACCTGGAAGCCTGGATGTGTAAGCTCATTATTGGCAAGCACAGCCTACTGCATTGCTCATTTGCAAGACCATGCTTAAGTAATTTTCCATCCCTGAGTACTACTTAGGGATGTAAATGCAGTGCCAGCATTAAAACCTACCCTTGCTAGCAACACTATCTCTCTCCAGCAGATCAGTCAGAGATATTTGCCAGGGTTCCAAGTGGCACTCTGTTAGCTACTGTTTACCATAGGCAACCAAAGTTCAGTCCTTACCTTAATTATGTTGGCACAAAACCTCTCAATGATGGTCAACTCGCCTTCTCTGATCCACGACATGTCTTACCAAGAATTCTTTTACAGCAGGAAGATGAAAATAAAGGGTTAGAGGTACAACTCTATCTGAGTCCAAAGCAACACTATATGGGATCACCTTGGAAAAATAACCTTTGACTACCCTAGAGCCCTTTTTATCATGTGGATCAGCAGACAATAGGGGAGGTGAATGGATCAGAAATTAGCTCTGGAATTTCTACCTGTATGTCAAGATTCAGTGCTCTACTGATATAAAACTAAAACTCTTACAGAAACAGCTGCTGAGCTTGTACAGACACACAGCAAACTCTTGCATTACGTTGGACCACCAATGAGCTGGTCATGGAGCAATGATTGTGAAATGACCTTCAATGCTTTTGTGCTGAAGTTGTTGGAAACCCTGCAAAGCAACCATATAAGCCACCCCCCAGCCTGCTTTACAGATATCACTTTACAGTATGATTTCTTCTCTTTTACAAGTAGAACAAAATCAGCCTTTAGAGTTTAAAAAGCTCGCTTTTCACCAGATCAAACATAAATATCTGCTTTATGCAAACAGGACATAACAGTCTCCTGACATTCCACATTCACCTCCATTGCGCTCAGCCCTGACAGATGCGTGCAAAGCAGCGCTGTGGGGCAGCAGGGCTGATGCGACCGCCTCGTAAGGAAAGCAGAGCCAAACCGCAAGTCAGCACGCCTTCTCCACACGTGCATTCTCTGTGGTGCCCTCAAAAAGGGCCGGCCGGCCACAGATACGGCCGCAAAGCACGAAGGACCCGCTGGAACATGAGCTGCATCCATACCACTCTCGAATAATTCGTCCTAAAAGCACCTCTTCTCCCAGTGCCGTTAACAGCAATCCGTCTTCCGCAGAGATTTCGCACAGTCACCTTTAAAAACGCTCCCGCAAAGCAGCCGCTGCCCTCCAAGCCGAGGATAACGGCCCCAGGAGGCCGAGCCCGGCCGCAGCAACACGGCTCCGCCCGCCCGCCAAGGACAGCGGGGTGCTCCGGCCCACGGAGCGAGCGGCGGGAACGGCTCGGGCTCCACGAGGCGCCCCTCAACCTGCCGCCGGCTTCCCGAGGGGAGAGAAAAGGAACGAGGCAGCACAAACCCGGCCTACTGCAGAGAGCAGCCTCCCCCCAGCCCCCGGGGTACCGCTATTGCTGCCGCTATTGCTATTGCTGCCCCGGCCCCTCCCGGCCCGCTGCCCGCTACCTGCCCCGGCGGCGCCGCCTCAGCCCCTCAGGACACTGACGCACCCTTCCGCTTACGTCACCCACCCGCGCATGCGCAGACACGGCGGGGAGTGTCTGGCGCGCATGCGCACGGGGAGCATTGGTGGTGGTTGGAGGAGGGGTGCGGGGTGATGGGCGGTGGGTGCTTGACGGCCTTGGGGCGGAGGAGCTTCGGGAGCGTAGAGCTGAGGCTCTGGAAACGGGCGGCTGGTCACAGAATCACAGAATCGCAGAATGGCCAGGCTTGGAAGGGATTTCAAGGATCACGAAGCTCCAACTCCCTGCCACATGCAGGGCCACCAACCTCCACATTTCATAGCAGCCCACGCTGCCCAGGGCCCCATCCAACCTGGCCTTGAACACCTCCAGGGATGGACGGGGCATCACAGCCTCTGATGAGGTCTCTGGTGAGCAGCTGTTCCAGCACCTCACCACTCTCATAGCAAAGAACTTCCCCCTGACATCCAACCTGAATCTTCCCTCCCTCAACTCAAAACCATTTTCCCTTGTCCTGCTGTTTTCTCTCCTTTCAAAGAGTTGATTCCCTTCCTGTTTGCGGGCTCCCTTTAGGTACTGAAGGCTGCAGTGAGGTCACCCCGCAGCCTTCTTTTCTCTAGGCTAACAAGCCCAGCTCCCTCAGCCTGTCTTCGCAGGGGAGGTGCTCCAGCCCCCTGATCATATGGGAGCAGCAGGTGGAAGAAGCTGTGGTGTAGAACTGGGTGGGGATCCACCATTATGTCTGCTGTTAGCACTGCTTTGGGGATGAGCTGCTCAACCCATAGCCCACAGGTAAAAAAAAAGAGCCAGCACACAGAACATCACCAGCAGCATTGCCCATGGTTTTTGTTTATTTATTTTTTCCAGAAAAGAAAAAAAAACAACACAACCCCACATTTTACATAGTTGGTACAAAAAAAAAAAAAAAAAAAAAAAAAAAAAATCACAAACGAGGAAAGGAGGGGGTAAATCTGCAGCAACAGGAACTCAGCCCTGGCTGCGGGGATTCCAGCAGGAAACCTCACTGGGAAGCGCAGCCGAGCAGAGCCACATGCACCCCTACATCTCCTCCACTTCATACAATTGAGTTTGTCACAAACAAGCTTTGGTTGCTAGCAGTAAACATGGAGTTACATTCTTCTGTCTCCTTGTAGACGATTGTGTGACTTGAGGCATTCACACCAGTGGAGACACCACCTGGGAAGGGCCATTTCTCCTCATACATTCAAATGCCTGGTTACAGCAGGACCCTGAGTGCAGCCTCGTCCGCCTGCGGTTTGCTGTCCCGCAATGCATAGTGCCCAGCATGAGCCGAGTGTGGGCATGGGCGATGCAGCAAGTTAATTATTGTCAAGACACAGGAAGAACCTTGGCAGCAAACACAAGAAGATTCAAGTCAATTCCATCTTCTCCAGCTTGGCTTCCCTCTACAGACTAAATCCCTGTTTTCTTGGATCCCGGTGCCGTACTGGCCTCGGGGAAAACCTGAGTGATTCTCTAAGCCATTGGCTCTTTGCTTTAGGGACAGGGGTGGCTACAGAACTCATATCCCCACAGAGTTGCAAGGCAGAGTACACAAAGAAGATCCTGTCTCCCTGGTCCAAAATCTATTAGATGCTTTGGCTATTTTTTTTTTCCTTTTTTTTTTTTTTTTTTTTTTTTTTCCCTCTTACTTTTGTAAACAATAATCAAAGAGAATACTGAGAGAAAGAGGAAAGATTTACAGAGATATTTACAGATACTAGGCAGCTAGCAGAAAATCACCAAACTATTAAATGGGGCGGGGGGGAACGGTCCTACACGACTCTTCAAACAGATACAAGAACCAGGGCCTGGCAACCAAGGTGGGCCAGCAGTCCCCACATTGGGACTGAAGCCCAGGGTTAGACACGCAGCCTGGTGTGTTCTATTGCATTTACCCCGTTCAGACAAAAGCAGTTTTCCTGAAGTGGGTTAGTCTAAATCTCATCACTAGTCGAGAACTTGAGGTCCTTCCCCCACCCTCCCAAGAAGAGACCACCACCTCACCATAGGAACTACTGGAGCAGGGCAGGTTCATCTAGGAGCTTCTCTCCAACCCCACAAGCCTCATGGCAGGGGGTAGATTTGGGGCAGAAACAAACCCCAGAGGGGTCATCGGGTGCAGTGATTGCTGCCGGTGAGGTTGGAGTAGATGCTCTCCATCTGGTCCAGCCTGCTCCAATCTAAACCTACATTCTAGTAAAGAACATCAGAAATCGTGCACGTCCTGAGACACCAGCATGGTAAAACTCCCTCACTGGGAAGGCTCCAGGCAGCCCCGGGCTGTGGAGTATTGATGGCCCAAAAGAAGGGATGCAGAGCATCCCCCAGCCATCCTGAGCCCACATCTGGGGAAAGCCAGGAAGGGAGCAGAGAGATAGAGCGGTTGCCCTCCTTGGCCATGAGTTGGGTCCACCTTGGCACCAGGCCCCTTGTACCAGCAGGTCCCAGACTGGGGACGACTGAGGGCTTGGGACAGTGCTCAGTCTCTCAGCACCCTCCTTGGCTGCTGTCAGCTCACACTGCATGCTCTGGGATCCCCATTCTGGCTTTTAGGTCACCATCCCCATGGCCTGCTGGGAGCCTGTGTGGCATCCCAGCCCACAGGCGATGGGGAATCCAGCACGAGGTGGACAGAAGTGTTCCCACGGGGCAGCAGGGAGGGAGCATGTAAACAGGAGAGAGAAATGGAGGACAGTCCTCAAAAACCACCGGGCTGGGAGAAAATCTGGAGTTGGGGAGCCAACATGGGCTCTAGCAGCTGTTCCCTGCCCTGCAGCACTGCCTGGCTTCTCCATCCCTGTGCATGGACTCACAGACCCAAATTCCTCCTTAGTCCAGTAGAGAAGGGAAAGAGATTCTATTAATACAGTTAAAAAGGAAACAAAACCCAAACATACCAAAAAACACAACCAAAAAGCTCAACATGTCAATCCACCTAGCGAACATCCAGTGAGGTAGATCTACACTTCCAATACAAACTTTGTCACATCTTTGTGCTGTTAGAAAAAACCCTCCTCTCCGTCCAGCACTGGGCTACAGAGGTATTTTATCCCTGAGATTGCTCGAATACCTGAGAATAAGTTGCAGGAATTAGGTCCTTTCTCTTTCTCTCTTTTTTTTTTTTCTTCTTTTCTTAAAGATTAAAATATACAAAAATACAAAACCTGAATATTTATATAAAAAAGGCAAAAAAAAAAAAAAAAAAGGCAAAAACAAAAACAAAAAACCAAACCAAAGACAACAAACAAACCCAAAGATACGTCATTCACGCACATCCTAGTGCAGCTTTCACTTGGCATTGGCTTTGGCATGGTTGGGGCGTCTGGCCTCAGGAGAAGGGCTGTCACTGGGGCCAATAAATAAAGGCAAGGCTGGGGAGGGATGAGGGCAGCCACTGCCACCCCGGGTCCCCATTTTCTTGTACCTACAGGAGGCTCAGCCCAGGGTGCCGATGCAGCATGGGTAGGAGGAGCAGCAGTGTTTGTCCCACGTGGCTTTGATCCACGCAGAAGACTGAGTTCTACTGAGCCGTGTGCTGCTCTCTGGGGAAAATATCAGCACTTCCAGCCCAATTTCAGGGGTGAGGAGCTGAGGGGGCCATGAGGCCGGCCTGCGGGCAGCCCCCCCAGCCCTGCCACTCTTGTCTCTCCCTGCTCCGGCCGTGGGGCGGGGAGCAAGGAGCCACCAGAGCTTCCCTGAGCCGTGCCTTCCTGCTCCTCCTCCTAGCTTCCCAGAGAATTAAGACGAACCTATTTATTTATTAATTTATCTTATCTGAGAGAGGTGCGTTGGATGCTCCCCCTCCTATTTTTGGAGTCACCCCAATTAAAGCTGGGCTTTAAGGAGAATAAGGTTCTGCCCTCATCCCTCCCCGTTTGCCTTGCCAAAGCCTCTCCATCCTGGTGTTAGCCCTCCCCGCCGCCCGCCATCATTCCCGGGTTTCGGGGGGCAGGGCTGAGCTGTGCATGTCCTCCTCCTCGCGGAAGTAGGCAGGCTTTCCCTGAGAGCTGGGCGACTGCTGAGCTTTGGCGGGGCAGTTGGCGACCATGTGGCTGATGCTCTGGCAGAAGTGGCATTTCTTGGGCTGCGGAGGCAGCTTGCATTCTTTGGCATGGTGGTCCAGCCCGCCGCAGTTGTAGCATCTGCGTGGGGAGGAGAGAGATTCGAGGAGGGGAAACGAAAGGAGAGGACTCACTGGGGCCGGGGGTGGCCCTTGGGTTTGCTCCCCGGTGGTTTTAGGTCTCTCCCAGTGGTGCTGCTGGTACCCAGGAGATGGCAGCAAACCCAAACAACCCAATCAAGAAACAAGCACATGGGGGTGAAACGGGGGGCTCACAGCCCTCTGGCAGCACTGTGGTAATAGACCCTGGGTTTGTGGAAGCTGCATCGCAGGTTACTCCATGGTACGAGCTGCCAGTGCTTGGTGCAACAGGAACAGACAGAATCCAGTTTTCTAACTCACTGGGAAACCCAAAGTTGTGAGCATCGCTCCTTTCCTTCCCCAATCCCTTCCCAACTGATTGGAAGCCCCAAGCTCGGAGGTGCAGCCGCAGCCCTGCTGGGGTGCAGAGTCTTGCTGGGGACACTGAGATCCAGCATCCCAGGCAGAAGGGCTGAGGGGCGGCTGAGAACTGGCTCCAGGGCCCAAGAGCCTCCCTGTAGGAGCCGCTGCCAGGACGTCCGGTCATTTCCTCGCCACAAGCAAGGGTTTCTCTCTGAGAAAATTA